TCCTCCACAAGCGTTCAATACGTTGGTTCCTTGTCGATGAACCTGCAATAAAACTCCCTCTATTGTCCCCCCGTACTGCTACCATAAGTGCAGCGACTTCATTGTTTTCACCGCCGTGATCACCCCTTACACGAGAAGGCCAACCAAATTCTTGGGTAGCATTACGAAAGATGGTGGCAACAGTTGAAGCAAAGTTGTTGTCTGTAGCAAAAAGGTAAATGATACGTCTAGAAAATCCATCTATACAACCATGTACCACAAATTTCCATCGAATAAGGGAGTGGTGCCCATCGATATGCCACAAAGAATTGGGGCCAGGAACACTATAGACCCTACGAGTAATAACGCTGGCCCACCTGATAGCCGTATTTCTAGGGTACACACGTGTGAGTGATTCTCTTATTCTGTCCCTCTGTACTTTTATGTTTAGAGATCTGATATAGCCAATGAGGTACGACTCGCCTGTGGTATTACCATGTCGAGAGATATATTCACGCATCAAGGTATCTAATTGGTCATTAGATATCTCAGAAAATCTGCCAAGATCTAGCTTGCAGACCAAATTTTTGTACTCTCCTATATATTGTCCACCGCGATACTTGAAGCATGCGGGCAATTTCACTCCAGCTATAAAAACCGCTAGCACGTAGGTTTTCAATGACTTCTTTGGGCAGTATGAATGACGGACGTCCTACATTTCCCGCTTGATTTGCTTCCCGTGTACCAATGACAGGTAATGTTACGGTATTTCGTTGCATTGCTAAAACTTTTTGAGACCCGAAAATGTGAATTTCATTAAGTAAATAGCATAACTCTCGCAAAATGAGCATATTTTGAGACTCGGCAGGGTTGATTGAGCTTGGTGAAGCAGAAAAATCGTCACTGACAATCAGTATGCTTGTTGTGGGGCTAAAAAGATCAGATAAAGACCGTACGACGCTGACCGCTATTTCCAGTCTATTCAGCCGCAAAGCTCCCTCATGATAAGTTAAATTTCGCTCTTCTAAAAGTGTTTCAAGATCCGCTAGAATAGACTCCGTGGTTTCCAGAACATCCTGCCATGTTGATACTTCGCTTTCTGCTATACTAGCGGTTCCAGGCTGGCATTGCACATTGTCCGCCATCTTAAATTACGATAATGATCAGTATGAAGATTTTATCAAAATACCTCGATTACGGCGTTCCAACTTCCAGACAGTGAAGAGTATCTGCTTTTCTTGAAGCGCCCAGCTCCTGGCATAGTTTCTGCCGCCATTTTGTTTATTCGATGATTAGATATGGTATTTAAATAAAGTACTCCACCACTACTTTGTAGACCGCTGGCACGCCTGAGTGCAGAATTTATTGAATATATATTGAACGTATTGAATTGAATTTAGTTATCAATTATTAAATGTAAAAGTGTTTGAAATTTAATTGATAATAGGTTGATTGAATGTAAATGTAACAGCTCAACATATATTTGGTTTTACTAAATATGTATTTATATCTATTGAATATTGCAACAATCCGGCAACCATAGAATAGTAGCATTCCAAAAAATATCGAGTAATTCATTTGCTCAAATTTATCAGTTGCCTTACGGAGTTCATCAAATATTTGAAAAACTCCTAACTTCCGTTTCGAATTGATTTATTTCATTATGTAATACGATTAAAGATTCGTCAATTTGAGACCGGAAGTTACGAGATTTTCAAGGAGTTTTTCAAATACTTAATGGATGCGTAAGCCCACTGATAAATTTGAGAAAATGCAATTCTCGATATTTTTCGGATTACGCTCCTATTACCGCGACTGTAAAAAATAAATTATTTCTCAATCAAAACAATTTTAACGAAATTGAAGAATAAATTCAAAGAGGTGTCAAATATTTGTTTATACAGTACTCCCAAGAAATAACCTAACAAAATCCGCCGTTAACCTAAATTAAATCTCGTTCTGATCGCGGTTTAACCTCGGCCTAACTCGGTCTGACAGACATTTCTTAAGATGTTATCGATATGATTATTGTCTTGTCGTTCTCATGCAGCTGTTCATAACACTCCGTGCTTCAAAATACAAAATCTACTTATTTATCTCTTCAAGCACACTCTAAAAAACTTCAAAATCCATCAAAATTTTTCTATCTTACGTAGGCATGTTTCTTCGTATAATTATTTTCTAGATCATCCGAGTGAAAAATACTATTTCAAAACAGTTTTAAAACATCATATACGGTGACGCGAACCAAAAATTCAATTTCGTCAATCGCACGTTTGCTAGTCACCAGTTTCAACTCGTCTTAAACTCAGGGATGCACACATTACTTACAGAAACGTCCAACGTCCAAAATCTTAGCTGGAAACATAGGATTTCATAAGCAATCTGCAAGTGTATTCTTTGAAGTCAAACCGGCAGGAACATTATATAACTAAAAATGTGAATATTCTAGTGGTTTAAAGGGTCTTAATTTCGAGTGGTATTATACACACTTCAAATTCAAGCCGGGAGTCGCTGATAGAAAGGTGAGTCAACTATAGGTCCTCCGGCAGGAATCGAACCTACGCTTTTGCGATGCCGGTGCAATATGCTCTTGCCACTTAGCTACAGAGGTAGCTGACAAGAGCAAGCGTGGTTAATGTGTATACATGATAGTAATGCCGGGAATAGATGAGGGTAAATCATATAATGATTTAGCTCAGTGGCAAGAGCATTGCACCGGCATCACAAAAGCTTAGGTTCGATTCCTGCCGGAAGACCTATAGTTGACTCACCTTTACATCAACTGCATGTTCCTGGCTTGAATTTGAAGTGTGTATAATACCACTCGAAATTAAGACCCTTTAAACCACTACAATATTCCTGCATCGAGTGAAGTGCCAAAAATCATTATTGATTTACCTTCACCTATTCCCGGCATTACCAGCTATCTATACACATTAACCACGCTTGCTCTTTTCAGCTACCTCTGTAGCTCAGTGGCAAGAGCATTGTACCGGCATCGCAAAAGCCTAGGTTCGATTCCTGCCGGAGGACCCTATATTTGTCTCATTTTTCCATCAACTGTTCCTGGCTTGAATTTGAAGTGTGTATAATACCACTCGAAATTAAGACCCTTTAAACCACTAGAATATTCCTGCAATGACTGAAGTGCCAAAAATCATTATTGATTTACCCTTAAAAATGCGTATAGCCTTACTGTTACGAAATGAGCATATATATATATATATATAGTGTAATTTAGCATTGTAATGTAGCTGACAAGAGCAAGCGTGGTTAATGTGTATACATGATAGTAATGCCGGGAATAGATGAGGGTAAATCATATAATGATTTAGCTCAGTGGCAAGAGCATTGCACCGGCATCACAAAAGCTTAGGTTCGATTCCTGCCGGAAGACCTATAGTTGACTCACCTTTACATCAACTGCATGTTCCTGGCTTGAATTTGAAGTGTGTATAATACCACTCGAAATTAAGACCCTTTAAACCACTACAATATTCCTGCATCGAGTGAAGTGCCAAAAATCATTATTGATTTACCTTCACCTATTCCCGGCATTACCAGCTATCTATGCACATTAACCACGCTTGCTCTTTTCAGCTACCTCTGTAGCTCAGTGGCAAGAGCATTGTACCGGCATCGCAAAAGCCTAGGTTCGATTCCTGCCGGAGGACCCTATATTTGTCTCATTTTTCCATCAACTGTTCCTGGCTTGAATTTGAAGTGTGTATAATACCACTCGAAATTAAGACCCTTTAAACCACTAGAATATTCCTGCAATGACTGAAGTGCCAAAAATCATTATTGATTTACCCTTAAAAATGCGTATAGCCTTACTGTTACGAAATGAGCATATATATATATATATAGTGTAATTTAGCATTGTTAAGAAGTAGAAGGTAAATATAGATGAGGAAATTACTTGGGGAACATGTCACATAAAATGACGTGTAAAGTAAATATTATTATGACCCTTCGGAATCACAAAATTACTTTTCCTGTCATGAGGTGACAGCCCATGGGATTTCCTCCGAAACAATAGTGTGTCGTACAAGGTTTAAGTGTCACGACTCAAGAACATAAGTTCTAGGCGGATACTAGATTGTGTCAATCATTTTTTCGTTATATTTTGCTCGGCTAAGCGCTAGAAGCCTTACGTCATTAAAAGCTTAATTCGATGAAATTATTAGTAAAATAGGTTATGGTTCACAAAGTAATACTTTGATAATTGTACTTTAATAAGTTAATGATAAATATTTTAAGTTGTGAACAAGTTTTAACAGTGATCGATTAAGTAAAAGACCAACTCGACTAGCGCGTCACCGCCCTTAAGTAAACAAAGTATGAGAGCTGGAACGAGTTTCTGACGGCAACCCACACTACCTACAACGCTGATCGGATTATATGAATGACACCACCTTGCATAGGGCGTCTTCAAGATTCCTTCAAATTTTATTATGAAAGGAGACGCACAGCAGCAGAACCTTCAGTGGACTAGCGGAGTAAAAAGCATATGAAACGTTGGAGAAGATCAACCTTACAAAACCAATGACCAAAGACAGGGACAGCAACGACGAATATTTGAACAAAAGAGAAGAACGGAGAAAGAAGAGAACAACAAATTTCACCATTTATTAGTTTTCCGGAATGTTCTTTCGGGCTGAACTTTTCTGAAATTGATTTTAACGGAATAATAATCATACAGTCCCAACCAATTGCGTCAAAATCTCGATAGTATACATTAACGAGGATCCATTCCTTACAACACTCTTATATTCATGCAATTTGAGTATGCTTCAAGTTAATGAATTCGCGAGACATTCGCCTATTCGCAATGCAAATATCTTTATATCGCAATACTCGCCGCTATTCGCATTTCGCCATGTGTTTTTTATCCTACATACCTGGCCTTATAGTTAAAAATTTATCAACTGAAACGCAATTGATTTCAATATCTTGACCTATTAACGAACTATTCATTTCTGTCATGTTTACTATGAAATAACATTCTACTTTAGTGAATCTGGTGCTGGTCAACAATGTTGTTATAAAGGTATCTTTCTGTTGGTTGGACCTCCTGGTGGTGGTACAATTGATATTGTATCTCCAGAAAAGAGTCTGTTGGGCCACTTCGGACGAGATGTGCTACCTTGGTTAGCATGCTGTAAACTTTCTTTCTTTGACAACTGTGGTAAATATTATGATGCAAGACCCTCCGATGATGGTTTACGATTCATACCTCAACCAACTGGTATAATTTATTTACATATGTAAATTAATGACAGATAGGAAGGTATAAGATAATACATGAGAAAACTGCACAGACGAAGGGACATAAACACAATGATACAAAAACTATGAAAACACGTTATCACAATACAATGCAAAAACTATGAAAACAAAAAATATTGTAATTTTTTGACACAAGTAGTGTGCCAGGCATATATGTAAAATAATTCAAAATAGTTCACCGATAACAAGGATACAGCAATTCTATAATTTTAATAATCTATTCCTGAAAGCAAGATTTCTTCCACTTATAAATGTAGATCACATGCAGTGCACCCAAACACAAATTGAAATGTCATGCCTGTGATATATTGCGGTCGCGGGAAAATTATTTTGATGTCTGAGAATTTCGTGAATTTGTTGCAACTATTTAGCTGGCACAAGAGGTGATCCTCACTTATCCACATTTGACGGAACGTTCTACACATTCAATGGTTATGGTGAATATGTCCTTCTCAAAGTCAACAATGGCTCGGATCTCGAGTTTCAAGGAAGAATGATACCCATACTTGATAACCATGGAGGAACAACAAGAGCAACAGCTCTCACAGCATTTGTCATCAAGGGAGCAACGAGTGATATAGTGCAGGTTTGTGCACATGCACTAATGTTACATTCATAAGATCAAGACACGATTTTGTGTTTCTTCGCAAGTTTAATAAACTGGTTGTTAGAAGGTTGTTTGAAAAATGAAGTATATAAAACTTTCAGAGTACGTTTCGTTTATTTTTTCATGAACTCTGATGCAAAAATTCACTAGAAATAATAAAATACATATACTACATTATATATATAGTTCATACTACAAATTGCATAAGACAGTACTAGTGAAAAGAAAATATCAACAAACGTGTCAACACTTCTCTCTCGTCCACCTTGGTGACACATGTTCACTATTGCATTGTTGTCAGACAAACGCTTATTTTTGCCAGACTTCACAATCAATTTTGACCAATCTTGCGTATATATGTATGAAAGCAAATTGAAAATGATTTGCGATTGACTAACTCTTTTTTCAATTTTTCCACGATTTATAATCTTTTATAATTTTCTTCCTTAAAATATTTTCACTTACAATGTTTTCATTTTAGTTCGAGTTTAACAACCGGCGCAGGGTAGACGTGTTAGTCAATGGTGAACATGTCGAATTTGACGAACAAACAAGATTAGACTTCACCGGCGTCTTTATTGTTAAACAAAATCAGTCAAAATTTGGTACATACTTTACATCAGGAGTAGCCGTTGTTGTTACATCTGTCGAAGATTTTCTTAACTATCAAATTTCAGTACCATTAAGATTCAAAGGTAATAATAAGTTCAGCTCCGTAGTTTCTTAGTTTCTTAAATAGCTAAACTATATACAGGGTGTATAAAAAAAAATGTCCCAAATGTAAAATTTCCGTTTTTCAGGATATTTTTCAGAATTTGGCAATATTTTGTGTTCCTAGAGATAGTTAAGACTTATCTGGTATACCTAGGCCAAGTTTGGTTTTTCATTAAAAAAATTATGTTACCGGGGGGTGGTTCCTTTCCACTGATATTGAGAGGGCTTGCGCGCGAAAATGTGAAGCTGAAATTGAGATATTATTTAGCTGTCTAAAAGTAGGAAAGCATTTTAATAAACTGTCAAAGTTTCAGGAAAAATAATGCAAACTGGGAGCAACGCGCGACCCCTAAAAGTGACAAATATTTCATTGCGCGCAGTGGATTAAATGCATCGTTGATTTTAGCGTGACCGATCTCATGCAAGGCTGGGCAAATGAATAAATTAAAGCGAGAAACTGAACAAGAAGACGAAACGATTTAATAACAAGATTTTTATTCTTGATGTTAATCCTCAACATTTCCACCATTTCTTTCTAAGCAAATGCGGCTCGTCTGAGCATGGTAAACACTGAACGGCGAACCACATTTGTCTGTCCTGCCTCAAATTATCCATTTCGTTCGAAATTCTTTCTTGCAAATCACCTATACGCTACCACCGGCAAATCTAGGCGAATGGACAGACAAATGGTTCGCTGTTCAGTGTTTAGTATGCTCAGACAAGCCGCAGTTTGCTTAGGATGAAATGGTGGACATGCTGAGGATTAACATCACGAATAAATCGCTTTGTTTTTGTGTTCAGTTTCTCGCTTTAATTTATTCATTTGCCTACCTTGTATGAGATCGGTCACGCTAAAGTCAACGATGCATTTAATCCACTGCGCGCAATGAAATATTTGTCACCTTTAGAGGTCGCGCGTTGCTCCCAGTAAGCATTATTTTTCCTGAAACTTTGACAGTTTATTAAAAAGCTTTCCTACTTTTAGACAGCTAAATAATATCTCAATTTCAGCTTCACATTTTTGCGCGCAAGCCCTCTCAATATCAGTGGAAAGGAACCACCCCCCCGGTAACATAATTTTGTTAATGAAAAACCAAACTTGGCCTAGGCAAACCACATAAGTCTTAACTATCTCTAGGAACACAAAAATTTGCCAAATTCTGAAAAATATCCTGAAAAACGGAATTTTTACATTTGGAACATTTTTTTTGATACACCCTGTAGATACTCGAAATCTATTTAATATTGCATATGTTGTGTAACATGATTGAAATCCTATGCAAATGTAATCATATGCAATTCTAATTAGACTTCGAGTTATATATAACATATATATATATATATATATATATAACATGTGTAAAACAATGTGCCCTCCCGGCTATCACCAGAGCGCAATGGTGACTCCTGCACTTGGGACACAGGACGTATGGTTACACATTGTTGGAATTGTTGCAATAACAACAGTATTGTTTATTGGGCGTAAAGGAGCCTGACAAGCGTAAAATGATCACCGCTGCATGTAAGAGACACTGCGCATTTTGGGTAGACCATAGAATGTGGCGGGAGAGGGTCCAATGGTTTTAATTGCCAATATTCCTTATCGGACAAGTGCCCCGCTCGTTTTAGCTCTTTTAAAAGTTTTTCCAAGTCTATTTCAGTTTTGGATGTTGGGTTCCTTCGCTTATCAGTAATGCGTTTGTAGATATTCTGGTGATCAAGCATGTTGGTCACTTGACTCTGATATACAGCCCTACTCATTACAACCACGGAATTTCCTTCATAAGATTTTGTTACTAAAATGGTTTTATCAGTTTTGAGATCTTTCAATGCTTTCTTCTCACCGCGCGTCAAGCTTGTTTCAAGATGGAATAGATGTTAGCTCTTACCTCATTTTGTGCTTCTTTAAGTAGATCTTGTATGTGTTACCAGTGCCCCACTTAACTTACCAGTCCCCCACACTTGAACTCGTTTATTGAAAGATTACAGTGTTTAAAACACACAAATGTTTAAAACGAAACCATGATAACGTTTGGCTCTCTCAAAACAACGTGTCTTCCCATCGTCACGTGACCACTCTTACACGACAAAACTAACTAGGGAGGGAGGGGTGCTTCCTGCAAATGTCTATACCCCTCACACTCTCCCCCACTTAAAATGTGTTCACTCGCACGCTACATAACAAACCATGCATCTAAGATTATTTAGGGTGATCAAGCCTGGATAAATCTTACAGGTTTTATTCAAACTAGCGCCGTCCCTCTCTCGTAACTTAGTATTACGTTATTTACATTAAAGAATCTGTCCTTTTTTTTCATTTCCTTACATGATATATGCAGTAACGAGTCCTATTTTTTTTTCTCCTTAATTTTTTTTCCATTTTAAAAGTATTTGATAAACCAACTGCTATGGATAACCATAGTATACCGGCGGTTGCTGGTAAAAGGCAGGAGTAGGAAAGTTGGGCGTAGAGGTTGGATAGGTTAGGTAATAATTGGCGAGAGGTGGATATGGGATCATGGGTAAGATCGGGTATGGTGGAACGGGAAGCCAACTCATTTCTTGTGGTGGGAAGAATCCGTTTGTCGTCTGAACACTCGATAGGCCCGGTGGAAACTCGGTTTGGTTACCCATCACATCGTAATTTAGCATATAGGTGGTCGTCGCGTCCGAGATGATCGTCGAAGCGCATCTCTCTCTGCTACATCTTCATTAGTCGTATTACTTGAAGTTTCTGCCTCTTCTGTTGGTTCATCGATATCTTGTCCGTGATTCTCACCCAGTTCTTCTGATATTTCCGACTCGGGTACTTCATGAGTCACCCCAGCTGTGGCCGGTTGTTCCCCAAATCAAAATGTCCTTCCAGGTTGACCGGATCTGTCTGTCTATCCCCCATCTGAGCAGGAGTAAGGCCGCATATGTCCTTATCCTTCGATTCTTCAGCTTCCCATCACTATCCTGAACATTCTGTTTGTTTTGCGCTCGCGGAGGGTTGAACACTGGTGCGAATTCTGTTGAATTATCTGAGGCCAAGAAGTCACAGGGAAGAAGGAGGTTTCTATGAAGGGTTGTTGTCTTGTTCATGGTTTGTCCCTCGGGCTTGACTACGAATACGTGCAGTTCCACTTTCTTTTCCACCACCACATGTACCTGATCTTCCCAATGGGACCGGAGTTTTCCTGGGCCCCCTCGTTCCGAGAGGTTCCGGACCAAGACTCGATCCCCTGGCCTTAATTCTGTACAACGGATCTTCTTATCGTAATGTTTTTTTCCTCTTTCCGCAGATTTTCGACTGTTTTCCATCGCTTTCGCGTAAGCTTCTTTCATTGATTCCTTCCATCGTTACACGTACTGAGTATGGTTTCCTGTGGTAGAGGTAGGTGATGTTCCAAAAAGGAGGTCTATTGGTAACCGTGGAGGTCGGCCAAACAGCAAAAGGAATGGCGACAATCCCGTAGCGTTATTCACCGTACAGTTGTACGCATGTACAACTTTATTTACTGACACATGCCATTTGCTTTTCTGATTTTCTGGTAATGTTCTCAACATGGCCAGTAACGTCCTATTAAATCTCTCCGCTTTACCGTTGGCCTGTGGGTGATAGGGCGTTGTTCGACGTCGTCTGATTCCGGTGAGCTTTCCTAACTGGCGAAATAGATTGTTCTCAAATTCTCTGCCTTGATCATGTAATATATGTAACGGGAAACCAAAACGGAGAATAAAGTCATTATACAGTCTTTCTGCCGCCGTTGTACTGGATTTATTTTTTGTAGGGTACGCTTGGGCAAACTGGGTAAAATGGTCGACGATAACCAATACGTACTCATGTCCACTAGAACTTTTCTCGAGGTGCATGTAATCAATTGATATCAATTCAAACGGGGAGCTAGTTGTTATGCTACACATTGGTGCACAGGTTGGTCGAGGGGGTTTACGCTGTTTGAGACATTCGCAAATATTCGTAACGAAATGTGTTATATCACGTTCCATATTAGGCCAATAGAACCTTTCTCTTGCTAACTGCACCACTCTCTCCGCCCTTAAAAATTTCCCATGTCTACGTGTATTTCCTTGTATACCGTAGGGTGGAATTTCCTTGGCAAGACCAGTTGTTTGTTTATACCACTTTCGCGACGTAATACTCCATCCTTTCCGATCTTGAGTTTGTGCCATTGCCGCAGGAGAGTTTTGGTGTTTGGACGTTCATTCATTTTGAACCGATGGACGATGCCCATCAACTTTGAATGATCGTACCCTACCGATCGATGGGTCTTCCTTTTGTGCTTTTAAAATCGCTTCGCTACCAAGACCTGACGCACCCACATCTTTATTGAAGAACTCGTTCTCGACGTTCACAAGGTTTTCATCGATCGTCAGAGCTGTAACCCATGTAGCGTTTCCAAGTTGTTGTGCAGTAATACCCGTGATTACCGCTTTAATGTTTTCGCAGGGTATCTCCTCAGCGTACTTTTCCCTATATTTTGTCCACTCTATTGGCATACGAGATAGAGCATCTGCATCTTGGTTCTTTCGACCCGGACGGTATTTAATATCGAACGTGAAATCAGCCAGTTCCGATACCCACCGATGACCGGTCGCATTTAACTTAGCTGTTGATAGTACATATGTGAGTGGGTTATTATTCGTATAAATCGTAAAGTTTGGTGCATAGTATAAAATGTCCCGAAAATAATCGCATACAGCCCACTTTACTGCGAGGAATTCCAATTTCCCTGCGTGGTAATTTTTTTCTGCGGGGTTTAAGGATCTTGATGCATACCCTATCACTCGCATCTTTCCCTCTTGCTGCTGATACAACACGGCCCCAAGTCCCAGTAGTGATGCGTCTGTGTGTAGCTCAAACGGTTGGCTATAGTCTGGGTAACCAAGGATCGGTGGGCTAATGAGGCACTCGAGGAGCTCTCCAAGAGCTTCTCGGTGTTGGGTTTGCCACAGAATTGGTTGTGATGATGGTACGTTG